AAAAGATAAACCACAGGTGGAGAAACTCTGCAAAACACATATCTGATAAAGAGCTGGTATCCAAAATATACAAAGAACTCTTAATGCTCAACATTAAGAAAATGAACTACCCAATTTTAAAACAGGGAAGACCTGAACACCTCACCAAGGAAGATATATGCTGGCAAGTAAGCATATCAAAAAATACTCAACATCATATGTCACAGAGAACTGAAAATTAAAACAACTATGAGATACCACTATATACCTATTAGAATATTCAAATTCCAGAACACTGACAACACCAAATGCTGGTAAGGACGTGAAGCAACAGGAACTCTCATTCATTGCTGGTAGGAATGCAAAATGTACTGCCAGTTTAAAAGACAGTGTGGTAGTTTCTTGCAAAACTAAACATACTCTTACTATATGATCCAGCAATTCTATTTCTTGCTATTTACCCAAATTAATTGAAAATTTATGTGCATTAAAAAACCTGCACACAAATTTTTATAATAGCTTTATTCATAATTGCAAAACTTAGAAGCAACAAATATATCTTCAATAGGCGAATGGATAATCAAACTGTGGTAAATCTATACAATGGAATATTATTTAGCATTAAAAAGAAATGAGTTATCAAGCCATTTAAGATATGGAGGAAATACCTATTGCTAAGTGAAAGAAGCAAAACTGAAAAGGCTACATACTATATGATTCCAACTATACAATTTTCTGGAAAACTACAGAAACAATAAAAAGATCAGTGGTCAACAAATTACAAACAAAAACTCCAAATCAAAAATGAGTAATGGACTTGAACAGACATTTCTCTGAAGAAGATATGCAAATCACTATTAAGCACACGAAAAGATGCTCAACATCAATCATTAGAGAAATGAAAATCAAAACCGCAATGAGCTACCATTCCAAACCCATGAGATATTATTTAAAAAAACAAAAACAAAACAAGAGTTGGTGAGGATGTGGAAAAACTGGAACTTTGTGCATTGCTAGTGGTACAGCTGCTGTGGAAAACAATTTAGCAGTGGTTCCTCTGAAAGTTACACATAAAATTACCATATGATCCAGCAATTCCACTCCTAGGTATATACCCAAAGGAATTGAAAGCAGGGCCTCAAACAGACACTTGCACACCAAAATTCAATAGCAACATTTTTTGCAATAGCCAAAAGGTGGGAACAACTCAAATGTCCATTAAGAGATAAATGGATAAACAAAATGCAATATATACATACAATGGAATATTATTTAGCCATAAAGAGTAATTGAATTCCGATACATGCTACAACATGGATGAATGTTGAATGCATTATGCTAAGTGAAATAAACCAGACACAAAAGGACAAATATTTTATGACTCCACTTATACGAAGTATCTAAAATAAGGAAAGTGGTAAGACACAGAAAGTAGAATAGAGGTTAGCAGGTTCTGGGGTAGGGTGAAGGAAATGGGGACTTACTGTTTAATGGTACAGAGTTTCTGCTTGAGTTGATGAAAAAGTTTTGAAAATAGATAGTGGTAATGGTTATTTACTACATTGTGAATGTATGTAATGTTACTGAATTGTACACTTAAAAATGGTTAAAATGGTATATGTATTTTGCCGCAATTTTTTTTAAAGTTCAGTGGTTTCCAGGTGTTTGGGGTAAGGGAGAAAGGGATAACTAGGTGGGGGGAAAAAGGATTTTTAGGGCAATGAAACTCTTCTGATACTATAATGGTGGGTACATGTCATTATACACTGGTCAAAACTCATAGCATGTATAACACAAAGAGTGAACCCTAATGTAAACTATGAACATTAGTTAATAATAACTTAATGGTACTGTCTTATAGTTTCAACAAATGTACCATGCTAAATGCAAGATGTTAGTAAGAGGGGAAACTGTGTATGTGACCAAGGATGAGAAAGTATATGAAAACTCTGTACTTATTGCTTAATATTTCTGCAAACCTAAAACAGCTCTTTAAAATATTCTAGTAATATTATTTTTAAATGAAAGTGTAACACAAATATGTTAGTAAGTTGCTTTTTTCCACTACTATGTTCATACATTATTAACATCTTTCCAGGGACAGCCTGGACAGGCAGGGACAAGCACAGGGTGACAATGGTAAAGTCAGTCAGGATAGAGATGAGGCTGTGGAAGGAGGATGCGAGTCAGAAGATGTGGGAATTTAGGGGCAGGGGATGTTTTACTCAAAGACCCACAAAGGAAAGGGACGAGAATTTGAGTGGACAAGCAGAGATAACTGAGCCCTTGAGTCTGAGCATCTCCAACAGGCTGGGAACTCTAGCAGGGCATCGAGTTTTGGTTCCTGCTCATGGAGTCTCAGTGCCCTGCTGGCAAGAGGCTGGCGTGACAGGATTGAGGAAGAGCAAGGAGATGAAGTCTCACAACTCACTTCTTAGCTCAGCATATTCTATGACCTTCCTGCTAGGGTGCAGTGAGCAGGTACAAGACAAGCAACCATGATGGTCAGTTGTCTGAAATTTCTATAACAGAAATGTGGAGCAGGTGGAAGCCTAAGGGGGGCCACGGGAAGGAACTGCTCCCCTAAGCCAGGATATGCACGCATTAACCTCAACTTCCCACCTGATGCTGCTGTGACCCTTCTGAGTCACATTCTTTCTCTTGGGCATCCTCCTATGCAGCTCTCAGCCCAGCTCCCGCCAGACAGGGAAGATGTGCCTGCTCCAAGACTTCCTATGATCTTTGGGGAAAACACCTGGAGGGGGTGGCTCAGCACACCTGGGCCTCATGCCTCCTCGCCCTGGAGACCACAACAAGGGCTGGGCCCACACCCCTTAGGCACAGAATCAACATTCAGAGGAGGGACACATTCATGCTTCCTCTCACCTGGGCTTCTCTGCATCCTGCTAGCAGTGGACACTTTGTGCTAAGTGCTGGTTCCTATCAGAGGAAGAGATTCCTGCCCCCACCTCCTCGTTTGATGGTAAGTGGAGTCATCCTGGGTTTCCTCAGGAAACAGGGAGGCGGGGGCATCCCACAGGCCCCCACACCACATCATGAGGAAGCCCCAGCACTTCCCGCCCTTACTGCGGCTCTCAGCAACTCTGTGGTAGGTCAGAAGGTGAGAATGCAGAGGTGCCACCTTCTGGGAGAAATGAGGTGTCCAGAACAGAGGTCCCTCCCATCCACTCAGGGCAGCCTCTCTGTCTTTCT